AATGTGAGTTCTCCTGACAGGTACCCCCTGCATATCAGCTCCCCCCGAGTCACTGGTAATGGCCTCTGGGACTATCATCTGTGGGACAACTGCTAGTCCTTGATGAAATATTGGTATCTGACTGTTTTACTTACTCCAGGGGCAGTTCACCACCAAGGGCCACAACTACGGTTTCGTTGAGTTCGATGACCCAGGTGCGGCCGAGAGGGCTATGCAAACCCTGAATGGTCGCCGGATCCACCAATCGGTAGGTTTCCTTTTATTCGTGGTACCTCATGACTGTGTCTAATCGCCGCAGGAAATCCGTGTCAATTGGGCGTACCAGTCCAACAGCACCACCAAGGAGGATACTTCTAACCACTTCCATATTTTCGTCGGCGACTTGAGTAATGAAGTCAACGACGAAGTCCTGACTCAAGCATTCTCTGCTTTCGGTTCAGTATCCGAGGCACGTGTGATGTGGGACATGAAGACTGGTCGCTCCCGTGGATACGGCTTCGTTGCTTTCCGCGATCGCGCCGAGGCGGACAAGGCCCTCAACTCGATGGACGGTGAATGGCTCGGTTCTCGTGCTATCCGCTGCAACTGGGCCAACCAGAAAGGTCAGCCTTCAATCTCCCAGCAGCAGGCCCTGGTTGCTATGGGTATGACGCCTACTACTCCTTTCGGACACCACCACTTCCCAACCCACGGCATCCAGAGCTACGATATGGTTGCTCAACAGACTCCCCAGTGGCAGACTACTTGCTACGTGGGTAACCTTACCCCTTATACTACCCAGAATGACCTGGTTCCCTTGTTCCAGAACTTCGGCTATGTCCTAGAAACTCGCCTCCAGGCCGATCGTGGCTTTGCATTCGTGAAGATGGATTCGCATGAAAATGCGGCCTCTGCGATCTGCCAACTGAATGGCTACAACGTCAACGGCCGTCCTCTAAAGTGCAGTGTGAGTTATTGCTACATAGATGGGACCACGGGCTTATATTTACTGACTACCGCAGTGGGGTAAGGATCGCCCTCCTACCGGCCAATTTGACAACTTTTCTCCCCAGCAGGGCAACGTCGCTCCCTTCAACGGCAGCCCTGCTGGTTTCTTCCCCCAATACGGTGGTCCCGCAAACCCCATGAACCAAGGTGGGCCTCATATTCATCCTATCTCTCAGCACTCGCTTACCGGTAGAATAGGTCCTGCCCCTGCTGGTCGAGGCTGGGATCAACAACCCAACAATTTCAATGGGCCTGCTATGGCTGGCCAGGGCTATGCTCAGGCAGGTAATGCCGGGAGCTACGGCCGTGGCCAGCCCATGTCCCCGTCCGGCAACTGGGACCAGTCCAACAACTTCAACGGAGGCTACCAGGCGTAGCTCGGTTTTTGACGGTCTCCAGTCGGTCTGCTCACATACGACACTTCCGGCATTTGCTCACAGAACTAAGTTTATTTAACGTCCCTTCTGTGTTTCTTTCCATAGCACCCCTCTACCATTCCCCGTCACCGTTGATATTTTCTTTCTTTTACTTAAATTGAGTGGATTTTCAAGCGAGCAAGTTGCTTTTGTCTGAAACGGAATTTGTGTGTTGCGCACCCCATACCCCAAGTCCACGTTGATTCGGCTTTTCTTTTTGCTTCTTTCTTTTCTTTTCTCTCTTTTCTCTTAAGCGTGCCTCGCTATCAAGGGTTCCTTGGACTTTTGGCTCTGTCACGCCCGCAAATAAAAGCGACCTCCCTACTCTTCACCCGCGTATTTGGACTGTTGCCATCTTGTTCATTTCTTTTCTCTAGCTGTTTTATCATTCGAGTACATGTGTTGTATCAAATTTGCTTCCATCATTTCTTAGGCTTGCTTTGTTTGATACTCATTTTCACTCAAAAGATTTCATGGCTTGCCATGGATTTCCCGGTTGACACATTGGTCTGGGCACTTTCCCACGAGTATCCGTATATGCTGTGATGAATTTCCTTGAAGTACGCAACACCATTGATCTTGTTTTCTAAGTATCTTTGCCTTGCTGGCGTTCTAGCCCAGATACCAATTTGCCTTTCCTCTTTTTTTCTTTTTGCTGTATTATGCCTTTCCATTTCTCTAGACTCATTGCGTATGGCATTTTTCTTTGTTTATTTTCATATATACCATGTATGATGTACAGAACAGACGGCAGATTGCATGATATTCTCTGTCCCTAGGCTCGCAGGTGAAACTGAACATGCTCTGCGGGGCATTTGAAGTTTACCTCCAGGCTCTTTTTGTGCCAGTTATTATTCCCTGTAGTGTTAATTGATTGGTAAACGACAGCCTTTTTCTCGCTGCATATGTATGCAGTGTGACAATGAGCTATACAGAATGTTTCAGATGGGATAGCCAATGTCCATGTTCCCATCTTTTCTATGACTCTGTTTCTCTGTACGCAGCTTGGAAGCCAGGGCTGGGGTCATTGATGGAATATATGGGTAGTTATACATAGGAATTTCATTTTTGGGGCATTCCGCCAATGACTCTCCTGGTTATATCAGGGGAGATGGGAAAGAGGACATCATAAAAGAAATAGAAGATGAGAACTCATAATATCATCTCAAACCGAATGAATCAGAATGGTCAAAGTCCTACGTCTCAGTTATTTTGATCAAGCCTACCTTTCTATATCAGATGCTGGCTTCTTGTTAGTATATTTATGAGACGCTTTCCAGAGGCTATAGGAAAGCCTTGGACCCTACCTAGGTAGCATTTATCTTCCCTTCTTCTCCTAACAAGGAACGTACTGCAGAGAGGGGGAGAGAGAGAAGACCTTCAACTAGATTCGCCTTGCGCCTTCCGATTGGCCTGGAACATCACGAGGTATACTGAAAGTTGTCTACGGTTATTGCTGCCGCCATGCTTATCCTGTTCAGCCTCCGACAATGCCCAGTAACAAGGCCATATATTCTGTAACTCGGTGGTTTTTACATGTATTTTTTGTATATATGATTTGATCGCATGTCCATTTCCGGGGGGATTTTCGATAAACTGACTCGGTCGAGCCGCACTCATTTGGAGACATCGTTATAGTTGTTCACACGATTTCCAGACTAATGCAGGTACATATGTATTTCCAAATGGCGCCAGTTTGGATAATATGGGGTTTTCCAATAGGAAAAGTACAGGTAGGAACTATGCCGTTTGCCTCTTCCACTACTTCGCCGAGTTACGGAAAGTACACCTCAAATTTGATTTGAGAATATTATATAACTCCTTCTACTGCACATCGTACCTGCTATTTCTGATATTTTATATGCATTGGAGTAAAATTCAAGCCTATTTGAGCGCGTCGCTGATATACTTCACAGTTAACTTACATTGCTGGTGCCTGATATTGCAGGCTACAACGCCACTCCTTTACGGGTCTTGTGCAGGCGACATACATATCTCTGTGCAAAACAGAGACACCAAGGAAGAAACAAACACTGACCCGAGTTCCATCAATACAAGAAGATTGACCCAGCTGACGTTCCAGTTCCTGGTTCCACTTGCACCAATGGATAACGACAGAACCGCGGACTTGGCGGTACCCGAACTATCTCCTCGCACGCGATCAGGCAGTGCAAGTAGCGGCCATAAACGAATCCTTTCGGGTTCCCTTCTTTCGAGACTCTCCTTCCTTCGCGCGAGCCGGGCAGCGCAGACCTCCCTGGACAGAGAACACACAGACATGGACCATGATGGCGACGAAGACCTCCACTCCGGTATGTCGCAGAGCACAGGCAAGGGAGGAACTACCAGCAGCCGGGCAATGTCTGCCGCTCTCGCACAACACCGAACGCGCCGCCGGCGAGGCTCCCTCCGTAAAACTGCATTGCTCGGCACTAGGCTCGAATCGCGCGACAAAAGAGCCACCGCCAAAGCCGCCGAAGCTCTCGAATCCCTCCGCGCAGAACCCAGCCGACTCCCGGCCGCCGAGCTACAAGCCGCTATACAACCAAAAGATCAAACCAACTCCGATAATGGGCCTACACTATGCTCGCCGCGCGGGAGCGAGGCCTTCGACGACCGCGACGATACCCAACAGCCGGCCTGGTTCCGCGCGTCAAATACCCAGAAACCCGTCCGACCCTCAATAAGTCGCCGACGCCAGGGCCTCGCACACCACAATCTCCAAGAACAAGCCACCGACGACGAGGACCTTATCTCCTTCCCTCGCCTCCACTCGAATACAAATCCCCCGGCGGCCGGCACGGGTACCAGCCCCAAAATCGGCTCTGCAGCCGGTTTGCACATATCCCCACCGTCCTCCAGCTCAGGTTCTTTCTATTCGCTCAAACCTCAACCCGAACCGGCATACCTACCCGTCCACCGACATAAATCCTCGCCCCTGGTCACACACCCGGTTGAGATGAAGAGCAGTCCCGATGTGGACGTGGACTACTCCGAGACCGAGTGGTGGGGCTGGATTATACTGGTTGTGACGTGGCTGGTCTTTGTTGTGGGCATTGGGAGCTGCTTCGAAGTTTGGAGCTGGGCTTGGGATGTTGGGGAGACGCCGTATGCGCCGCCTGAGTTAGAGGATGATCCTACTTTGCCGATTGTCGGGTATTATCCTGCACTTATCATTCTCACGGCTGTCATGTCTTGGGTCTGGGTTGTTGTCGCATGGGTTGGTATGAAGTACTTCAAGCATGCTAATATATCCGGGGAGGATATTTGATTTTCCTTTCTTTGTTCTAGCGCATACTGTATTATAATACCCTTCCTTTTGTGAGCGTTGCACGACATGTTTTTCAATGTTTCCGTGGGTTTTCGTTGTAGGCTGACCGATTGTCTTGACAACATTGACTGGTCAATACATGTAGGCTGCGCAAATGTCACAGCTATATTGCTGCAACTGTGACCTCAGTCTCTGGGATGATGAGTTACGAAGAGATACAAGCATCACTAGCATTATGTATTTCCGGCAAGAGACTTCGTTGTCGTGGCCTCGTCTGTATGACCATCTAGTCTATCAACTATGTATATACGAGGGAGCTTTATTAATCACAAATTTGCATCCCCCAACTTTCTCAAGCGCAACATACTATCCTGCAAAGAAGTCGCCAGTAATGTCCCATCAGGGCTCCAAAGATAACTCTCGTGCATCCCCCTATTCTCCGTAGTCCGAGGCGTCCACCCCTCCTGCACGAACCACTTCATGGGCAGCTCACTCAGATTAACATCGCTATCGCCAATACTCTCCCAGTCAACCATCCGTAGGGCCTCCCCATGCTGATGCACAATAACCGTAAGCGTTAGACTCGCCATCTCAGTCCAGTACTTGATCCCCAGAGCACGCGGAATCAAAAGAAGCGAGTTCTTATCACTGGAATACAGATGCGCACACGCATACAGATTATCATATTCCCCATTCTCTTCCCTTTCCCGAATCTGCGCCAAACTCGCAGTAGGATCCTCGTCCGGTGATCCTTTGAGCCGGTACTGCGTTAGCTGGCGATATCGCTCAGGATGTTGCTTGACATCGTCGGCGCGGTTATAGTCCTTCATATCGGTCTTGCGCACGTCCAGACCGGGAAACTCGGGCTCGGAGATGTTTCCCTGTCGCACAGCCTCGATCCACCATTCTGCGTCCACGCTGGGACTGGGAGTCTGGTCTTCTGGCCGCTTCGCCGAAAGAATTGAGTCGAAGCGCGCTTGTGCTGATGTCGGCTGGTGCTGAAAGAGACGCTGCTTCTCGTCACGCTTGAAGGAGCATATGCACGAGAAGCAGATTTTGCCTGCTTGACGTGCGTCGACAGCTCGTGTGCTGTACATGAACCCGTCGCGGATATGTCGCACTGTGTACACGTATGGCGTGTCGAGCCGTCCCGGTAGGATGAATGTGCCCGTCATATCCTGCCGGTATGTCAATTAATTTGAGTCAGTTTGGGGGGAAATTGATGTATGAAATCTTACGTGAATCACTAACCCCTGACCGACGGTCTTGGACGCTGCATAGGCTGATTGGGTATAAACATGTCCGCCGAACGAGCGCGTTCCTTGACCAGGGTTGTAAGGTGTTGCGAGCGAGCGGAACCGCTCAAGCTTTTCTGGTTCGGTGGAGTCGGGAAACGAGATCGAGGTATCTTCGAGTCGCTCTAGCGACATCAACTCAATAAAAGAATGCGGGGACGTCAGCTCGCCGTCATTGTCCTGGGCCCCGCGTCGTGAAGACATAGCGCAAAACAGGCGAGAGGGTTTTGAACTGGGCTTTTTCTCTCCCAAGAGGTACAGGCTGCGCGAAGCAGTTTCTTGCGTCGACAAGGTGGATAGTTTGCGGACCGATGGTACCTGCCCGATCAGCAATACCGGCTCTGGATTCGATGGTGATCCTCCCCGTGATTGTGGTAAGTGAAAATGGGGTTAATGAACCGGGCCTTATACAGTCTTCCGCTGTATAAGGAAAACCCTGTATAATCGTACGGGGAGAAGAGGTGATAAAATTGATATTTGCTAATGGATGTATGGGGATTGGTACCCCGGACTAAGAGACGGGACCGGCCGGTGCCTCGGCTCGTCAATTCGACTCATGCCTTACCTACGATGTACATTATAGAGGTGAATTTTCTGACTATAGACATTTAAAAAAATGAATTGTACGACTTCCGTATGAATCGGCTGTCTACCTATCTACAGGACGCTTAATCCAAATTCGATGTTCTGGATTGATCAAAGGGAATGCATTTCGGCTGAAGCAATTCGCTCCCCAGGTTTACATAAATCGAACAATGGCGGCGTTCAGAGGGTGCAGCATGTCGATCTCTATAAATCAAATAGGGGGTAGATACTGAGCTTTGCTATCGGATTCATGGCCTGTTTGCCATGCTCGACGTTGCCATCCTTTATGGAGCCGAAGAGTGAGGGAACAGGAATTGGAGTAACAGCCACAAAATAGACTTGTAGATCAAACTGGTATTTTGTACAATATGCGCCGATTTTGCCTATAGGTTCAACTGGCAGTTCCCAATGCCCGTGTCATAATAATACAAAGAACGAAAAGAAAAGTGCTGAAATCAAACCCCACGCTCCTAAATCTGATATCAACAACAATCAACCTTTCGTCAAAACAATTGCGTCAATTAGATCTGCTCGGTGATGGTGGAAACGTTGTTCCATTCGACCTTGCCCTCGATATCCTTGATCTCCTCGAGCTTGTCGCCGAGTTTGACAACGGAGAAGTTGATCATACGCGGATCGAGACCGAGAGTGCGGCGGATAGATGATTGAACAGAGCCGGAAGAGTCGAAGCGCATAATGAAGTGGTGACCTTCGGTGTATCGGGCCTGATGTTTCGTGGTGACCCTGGGCAACCGGAAGGTGCCCCAATTGGTGTAGCCGCGAACGACGCCGCCGGAGCGGATGACTTGGGTGCCAGCGTTACGGGCGATTCTGCAGCAAATTATATATATCAGTATTCGATAGGTTCGGATGATGGAGACTGCGGCGATGGTGCTGATTTAGACGTACTCTCGCACCTCGTTGAGGCTGCCCGGGCGGACCTGTTAGCAGAGCGGTCAGCGAATCCAGGCATGTCTTTTAGAGTCAGCATAACAATTCCAATGGAACCAAGACATACAATGGCAATCAGCTCGTACAACATGGCATCGAAGGGGGTGCGAACTAGAGACAAAAATGGGAGCAATGACCATTTGAAGCCAGCAAAATCCGACGAGGTTAGCGCGTTGCTTATCGTAAGTCTTGGCATTTCGTTATCAGGGAAATGCCGTCAACTAAACTCCGCCGGGCATCACCTTCTTTCCCTTCTACTTAAACTCTCCCCTCTTCTCATTTTACTTTCCACGCTTTCAATTCCTTTCCTCTATACACCAAAATGTCCTCCGTCGCTCGCGCCATCCGCCCCTTCACTTCCCGGGTACTTTCCCAGAAGCCTCTTGCCTCCGCCTGCCAGGTTTCGCCTGCTTTCCGTTTCCCGCGGGGAACTAGGAGCTTCTCCCAGAGCCCTCTCTGTGAGTGCCATGAACCCCCAATGCTGTTAAATGCTGCCCAGGACGATGTACAAGACAAATGGACCGGCAGTAAAGCATTGCGATCCCTCAAACTTGCTTCTTGGGGCATTATGATGTCACATTTTACTAACGGCGCACCGATTCGCAATTATAGCCCAGCTGAAGAAGTACACAGAGTCGCACGAATGGATTGAGCTGGCCGACGGCGGCAAGACTGGTTAGTCCACTACCACCCAATCAATTGTTCCATGCACCTGCCTTCGAGCCATTGAACCGACGTGCCAGGTGTATATGGTCTGCCATAGTATACAGGACATGGAGAAGCGAAGTAACTAACACTCTCTACAGCCAAGATCGGTATCACCGAATACGCCGCCCACTCCTTGGGTGATGTAGTCTTCGTAGAGCTTCCCGAGGTCGACCTCGAGGTCGTCGCCGGAGAGCCCGTCGGCGCTGTCGAGTCCGTCAAGTCTGCCTCCGATGTCCTCTCCCCTGTCGCCGGCAAGGTCATCAAGGGTAACAGCATCCTCGATGATAAGGCTAAGACTATCAACGAGAGCCCCGAGGGTGAGGGCTGGATCGCTGAGATTGAGGTTGCTGATGTTGCTGAGCTCGATGCGTTGCTCGATGAGGCTGCCTACAAAGAGACCATCGATGCTTAGATCTGTGGAGTGTGAAGACTATTGTGATCGTGGTTTATAAATGCCTGCCTGTGTTGGATGTGGAGAATTCCTTTTTCTTTTAAAGTGTGATGTTATATTGTCATATATGCCCAATGGTAACCGATTCGGTTCAACGAGAGCGTTTAGATTCGTCGATCCGCAAAAGGATCGATATACCGTCCAACAAGATTTCTGTATTGTGAATGGATTGTTGTTTCATTTCCTTGTAGAAAAATCATGGCCCATATATCTAGATGGATATGTATTCACAGCTAGACCACGCAAGTCTCAAACAGCGGAATGCAGCAGGTCTGTGTACAGGAGGATGATATCATTACAACAGAAGCTATACAGGAGGTATGGATTCACGACAGATCGGACACTGGAGGCGAAGCCTCATCCAGCTTTCCAGACAGGCAGTGTGGAAGATATGACGACAAGGAGTGACCATGTACAACCGGCGACTCAAGATGCTTGAGGCCCCGTCGGTGACGCTACTTCCACCCGAGGCAGAAGAAGGCGGAGGAAGGACAGGCACCTCGATGTCCTGCATGCAAATAGCACAGTCAAATATGGCCTTCTTGCGGTCTTTCCGCTGCTTATCGTCGTCTTTAGAGTCGCTGACAAGATCACGCTCATCGCCCCGCAGGGATGCAATTGACAAAACGCCACCACTAGCTTCGAGATCTTCGTCCGCCCCGGATAAATCGCGCAGCATGGGATGATAATCGTATGCATGCGGCGCCCAGCCACGAGGCACAAAGAAGCGTGGTCCGAGAACGTCCTGGCTGACCAGGATCCAAGCTTGGATCCACACCCATCCAGCCATGATGAATGCGCTTGTATAGTCGGGGCGGATAAACAACACGTTTCCACGGGCTGTGAGGAAGTATAGGAATGGGAAGAGCCGGAGAACACTTTGGCCGGCAACAAAGTCCCATCGAAGCGCCTTGCGGCAATTTCGCATCACGTTGCGGTAGATTTGTGGAACCCAGAAGGAGAGATAGACTGCTGCCAAAAATCGGGTGTAGATCGAGCCGAGGCGTCTCGGTAGGAGGAAAGCCCAGATTGACAGGATGAGCATGCCAAACAGCGCAAGATAGAACCGTGCGTACATCGTTCCTACGTCGCTGCGGATTTGCCTTGGAGTTGGGGGAGTGGTTCGGGTGGCTGGTGGCGGTGAATCCATCTCATCGTCGGGGGCATCTTGGTCGGGCGACAAGATGATTGCGATCGTCCCCGACTCTCGCACCGGAGCAGTGGCAGGCAAAGGCAAAGTTCCTGGACGAGTAGTCGGACCTGATGGATTGGGCGAACGATTTTGCTCTCTTCTTTCTGGCTCTTGCACTGCCCATATTTCCATCATGAACTTCATTCCAATATAACTCACCGACAGAAACGCCAAAAATGATGCCGTGGTCAGAACCAAGAAAGATACTGCCGCGTATAGTTCCAAAACAATGAATGTCAAAACAAATGCATCACCGAGCGCCATCAATGCGACGGTATAGAAGCTGATCCGACTCCGGGTAGAAGGAGTCGAAGCCTCTTTGATCTGTCGGAGAAGCAGGGCGATCTGTGCAACAAAAACACCGGAAACCACGAAGATGAGACGAGCTGCATATTTACTGTACTCTTCATGCTTTGGCCCAGTCACATATAGCGAATCAGAAGGAGGGAACTCGGGGGTTCCTTTCGTTTGAAGTATGTACCCGCAATCTGGGGAAAAGACAACAGCAGACATGACCATAAGAGGAGGATCTGGGATTGGCGCTCCCATAGGATATCTGAGCTCTTGCTCCATTCGCTCCAATAACAATCGGTCAGCAGGGGCATTGTCGAGCATAACTGGATGCTGCTGCAAGTAGATGATATGTTCACATTTAGGTGCAGGAAACTCCATCTGCTCTGTTCCTGCTAGGGAGGACCAAGGGAACAGTGTTGGGGGTCGATTTCGCTTCTCCGAGATGGTGTCTGACAGCGACTTGAGAAGAAGCTGGTGGGACAGTTCGTAAGTGTCAGAAGATAGCATGAAATGCGGCAACGAGAAGATGCCACCAAATTTCTCACTGGTAGTAGTCAAAACGATACTTCCGGTGTCTGGAAAGTGCACACCAAACAAAGAGATGTACCAGGTACTTCCCCAGAAGTCCTCGCTCTCGACCGTCAAACTGGCTCGCATCTCTCTCAAAATTCCATCGCCCATCTGAATCTCTTCACCACCTCCCTCTTCAAGATCAAAGTAAAAGGTGCCCCCATTGCCAGTGATATTATGACTGAATTCATGGGTGAAGTATTCGTGTTCTTCGGCGATGGCCGTCGCGTTCAGAGGCTCAAGGCGATCAGCACCTTCAGTTCGCCGAGTCCAGTCCCCCCGAAGCTTTCCGGTTGAGTTGCGGTATACTGGAAGTAGGAGCTTGGTCAAGTTCAACGTGGGCGAGATGGTGGGGTGTTCTAGACCATCCGGGGGTTCTAATCCGGCATTTGAGACCGCTGATTGTAACTGGTGGCGAGCCAGGCCTTTGACCTGCGGGAAAAGGTCCCAAGCGTAGCTGTCATTCCCCCTCAAGCCAGAAAAAGGAAGCCATCGATCGGCGGGTGGATCGAAGTCGCCATAGTTTGACCCATTCAACAGCCGAAGGACCTGTCGCTCATGATCAAGCTCGCGTTGCCGTGCCCGATCCTCATCGATCAATGGCGGTCGAGACTGAGAACTGAGGAGAAGGTAGAACACCAGCAGGAAGAAGAAAAAGGAGCCGCGGTTATCCATCTATGCCACGCAGCCTCGGCATCGGACTCTTTCTCAAAGACAGACAATAAGCATCGCGATATAGAGAAAGAAAAAACCCGAGAAGAACCGGGGAGCTCGGCTAAGCTACAGAGGGACAAGCAGAAAAGAATTAATGAATGACGAGAGCAGTATAAGTAGGTGTGTATGGAGCGGAGTTGATGATGTACTCGACCCCGGGGAGCCTGCCCGCCGGGCACCCACTCCTTGCTGACTCATGACGCCTCAGGCATGATGGATGGGTCGATATCAACCCTGGAAACGTTCTACTTCGGGATTTATACCCCGTGAAATTAAAAGAAGAGATGAGCAGATTGAAGACTATAGATTCTTATCCGACCATACTTATCCAGTGTTTTTGGTAGAACAGATCAAAAGATAACAAATGCCATTACATTTGTGGCAAGAATTGTCCACTAAATGCGAAGACTCGAATGCTGATATCAAACCAGTTGAATTTTGGTACAAATAGAAAAGCGCATACACACAACGACCATGTCAATCATAATAGCTCTTGCTTTATGATGCAGCAGCCAGGACACCACCCTCGGGCTTTTCATCCCGCCGCCGACGCTTCTCAAGAATGGCCTCGCGGCGCTGTGCAAGCATCTTCAATTGTCTGCTCTCAACACCCTGGAGCCAGTAGCCAAAGCTTCCACCAACACCGGCGAAAAGAGGGTAGACCCAGAGGGATTCCTTGGCGAGGATCGGACGCATCTCGATACCGAGTTGCCAGAGGCGGACGGCAATGCCTGCGGGACCAATGCGTTTAGTTCCAATGGCCATATGAAAAATTCAAACAGCACCGCTACCAAGTAGCATGCGCTTATAATAAATTGAAAGCTGGGGAAGGATATGTCACGTACCGAAGCCGCTCCAGAAGAGTACTTTGTGAACCATGATCGCGGTTGGGCGCGGGGTTGTGGTTGTAATTCGAGGGCGGAGATAGATCCGAGGAAAAGGATCAAGAAGGCGGATGGGTGGACTGGTTAATTCAACACCACAACGGCCGGAGTAAATGGAGGCGGAGTTGGATGTTGCCGTCGCAATAGTACAGGGGAGACGAGGTTGAAGCAAATCAGCGGGCCGCAGTTCCCAATCACGGAACATCAATTCTTCCGATCACAAGTGTTATCGCTTATCGGCCGCGCGACTTTGAATCTCCTCTTGTCCAGGCCAGTCGTGTACTATGCCTTCTGATGAGGCAATGGACAATTCTCAGGGGATAGAAGATTCCCATTCTATGGCTAAACGGCCTATTGATATTGAGAGCGTGAAGCGCAAGAAGTTCAAGACCGATGACCTTCCTTTGTCTGCCGCGCAACATGCAGTCATTGACAAACTCCTACATTCATTCAAGAAGAAGGGTGGCTTTGATAGTGTTCGTAAACAAATATGGGCTGACTTCAACGAAGGAGTATGAGATCATTTACATGCTTTTCTGCGCTCTGCTAATCCTATTTGAACAGGAACTTCGAACCGACTTTACCAACAAGTTGGTCGCACTTGCAGAGTCAGAGATCGATCGCGAGCCAGCGCTGCTATCCCGCGAAAGAGGAAAAGCAGCGACACTCATTGAGGGCGCGGTGGACCGTGGTGATGTCTACAAGAGCGTGGAGGACTCCATCGACCAATTAGCATCCAAACACCTGAATTTTATCCTCGAATCTGTTCGTGAGATCCGATGCCAGGACGTTGGAGAGGAAGTGGCCGCTCGTGAACTCGAGCTAGGAAACAAAACCGATGCAGATTATGAAGCCTACGTCAGCGCCCAGCGGAAGGAGCGGGAAAAAGTGTGGCGCGAGGAGGAGCGCAAACAGAGGGAGATTGAGGAAGAGGAAAAACGCATCAGGGACGAAGAACGCAAGAAGAAACGTGAACTTGAACGACAAAAAGACGAGGAAGAGCGGGCCCGAAGAAAGGAAATTGATGAACAGAGGCGAGCTGATCGTGAACGCCAACGCGAAGAGCAGCGAATTCTCGATGAGCAACGAGAACGAGAGCGGGATGAAAGATATGAGCGACGAAGGCGAGAAGATAGGGAGAGATATCGAGGCTGGGACCGCGACCACAGTCGAACTCGAGATAGAGACCGTCTCCGTGATCGCTCTCCGGCCTATCGCTCTGACCGTGGCTTATCCCCTTGGCCCCGGGATTCAAAACATGACAAGCCATCTACGTCGAATGCTCCCACTCCTGTGCTAGCCCCTCTCGTGGATGAGAAGTCACTTGAGGAGGCTGCTTTGCAAATGTTATTGAAAGAAGGCGAAGAACTTGCAGCCAAGGCTCGACAGAAGCCTGAGTTTGACTTTGAAGAAGCCGAAGCTATTGAAAATGGACTGAAACCGCCAGTATCAACGTTGGGGCCGGCCAAGAGCGCCAATGATTCTAGGTTCTCCAATACCTCTACTAGAGCAGCCAGTCTATCCCGAGATGCTGACGTGAGGCGTGGTTCTCTTGTTGACCGGGGTGATCGGTCCCGACATTTGACTCGGGATCGAAGTTGTAGTCTCTCGCGTCGACGGCGCACGTCCCGTTATGACGCAGATCGTCGACGTGAACGGTCCCGGGATACTTCTGTGAGGTCTCGAGACCGTGATATGGATGCGCGCCGTGGCTACCGCGACTTCCGGGATGACCGAGGTGGTGGAAGCTACCGACCAAGCCGTCGCAGCCGCAGTCGATCAGCCGGCCGGCGTGACCGGGACCGCAGTGTTGGCCGCGATAGAGATAGAATACGGGATCGATCGCGGTCGAAAGACCGTGACCGAGACCGCAGCCGCAACCGAGACCGAGATCATGACAATTATCGTCCTCGGCGCAGTCGGCCCTCTCGCTCACCCGTACGCCGACGTTCTCGCAGTCGCTCACGCTCGCGCCGTCGTGTTCGTGACCGAGGGCGGTCACGTTCTCGATCTACTCGACGGCGCTCTCGGTCTCGGCGTCGCTCGCCTTCTCCCACTCTAGACATCGATCGCTACGTGCCCTCCACCAGCAACAGGAGCAAGTCACCCCGTCGCCGGGTCCGATCTCCAGAGCGAGAGCGAGAACAGCGACCCCGGTTAGCTGACATTGACCGTTACAAGCCTGTATCTGAACGTGATAAGGATCTGACTCAAGCAAAAGATGGAGATATTGAGGTTGGCACGGTAAAAGAAAAGGACAACGAAAAAGAAAAAGAGAAGGACGTGGATGATCGCCGACCTCGTCGACGAACCCCTAGTCGCCGAAGGAGTCGTAGCCGACGAAGAAGCCCAAGTCGACGAAGAATTCCAAGTCGACGACGAAGCCCAAGTCGACGACGAAGCCCAAGTCGGCGACGAAGCCCAAGTCGACGACGAAGCCCAAGTCGACGACGAAGTCGCAGTCGCAGAAGGAACCGGAGCCGATGATTTTCCGCAGATGTTTTTTTCCATGTATAAAAAGACCAGGGAAGCTTTTTTTTACCGGCTTGCTTATTTTAGACTACCCTGCAATAATAACATGTATGATCAGAGGAACTATAGCGATTGAATATCCTTGCCATCTACGACTTGTACCTCAATTTCGTCTAAATTTCGGGTTGAACTCATCTCGATGCTGACGTAGATCACATGCATCGATAACAGATAAGCTTATTCGTTATCAGTGCTCCACCTAAAAAAAGCTCAACCAGACTCGCCAACTTCCAGTCTTCCAAGACACAGACGAAACACGTGGGCTATCGGACACTGAGATCACATTTAGCCATACAAAATTCCTGGACAGATATTGCCAGCACGCCTTCTAACCCTTAAACTCCACATCAGCGCATCACAATCGCCCAGAAATCACTGCGACTCCCAGCAAACCGCATGCCTCGAAGAGACATCCAAAACATGCCGTCCGCAACGACAAGATCCGAGGCTACTGCAAGCAATCCCTCTCCACAAACCCTGGACCTAGCGGACCGCACCGCGCCCCGTCGACAGCGCGCCCACTCTGCTGAATCATCCGACTCCGACCCAACTTCCTCTTCAGGCTCTTCTTTAGAGAATGATAGCGAGAGCGAAAGGGAAGACGAACAACATTCTGATCAAGAAATGAATGGTACCAGAGAGTCGATCACCCACGCACATGCCTCTGATCCATCCTCCTCACTACCTCGCATCGCCGGCCGCCCGAAGCCGCGCATACATCGCATTGAAGGCGCTTCGGGGCTTTTGTCGCGGCTCAACGCTTTCTTGCCAAAGATGAAGGATGCAAATGAGGATTTGAAGAGGCAAATTGAAGCTGGGGAGGCTGGGGGTCTGGTTCTCGATAATGCGGATGAGAATGGCGATCAGTATATTGAGATGGTAAGACTCATTGGTTGGGCTTGATGGTTATGATCGGGTTTGCTAACGGATTTTAGGATCTCGGTCTTGGGGTTTTGGAAGAAAAGCGCGATGGTGATTCTTCGAGTGATGAGGAGAGTGATGACGAAGAGTCTGAGGGTGCTGGGAAGATCCCTCAGGAGATCAATGACTCGGATATCATTGGGAAGCTTATGGGAGGTAAGGGTAAGAAGTCGAATACGGATAAGCCGTCTATCGAGGAGATGGCCTAGTAGACACTTCCGATTTGGTGGTGGGTTGCATTATTTATTACATTTGGTTGAGATGTGTATGGTCTTGATCCAATCATGGCGTCTACTGGCTTGACATGGTAGTTCATGGTAAATTACAACAAACTCTCCCGGCCTAAGGTGCAGTACAGTCAGCTGGGTATTGAGCAAACTATGCAGCCAAATTCCGGCGCACAGTATGCCAACTCTCTGCGTGTGCCCCAAATTGAATAGTGTATTTTTTATTGTTGTGATGGTACTTTTCAGCAGCTTGGGTTGGGCGATTGCTTGAGGAGTCATTCTTGATATTGCATGGAATAATGCATATCGTGGGCTCTGTGTTATCATTTGGCGTCTAATGTTTTGCTTTTTTTCTCTCTCTATAGAAGTGGCTCTAAACTAATGGCAGGCACAAAGACAAATACATTCATTCCCTATATATGCAACTCATCAGAATTCAAGTCTAGAAAACGGATATGGAAGAAAAGAAAATACTAAAACAAAATACGAGCATATCGCGGATCTCTATATATGCATGATCCCATCATACACTATGGCCGAATGACATTATTAAAAAGTGATAATTTTGCGTTTCACCGTCTCATTTTTTAGACCACTTCCTTGATACGGCAAGTCCAGCCGGATTCTTGGCTCAGAAGAGGCAAGCTGTAGCAGGTCAGTATACTGATTAGAAAGAGAAGGGAAGGAGTGAACTAACCTCGCACCTAGACACCAGCCCAGCTCGTTGTTCTTGATCTTCTTAGCGATCTTGACCTCGCGGGACAAGGGCATTTCGTAACCGGTGTGCAGCAGACCCATCATGAAGCTGAGATCCATACACCAATCCGGACGATTCCGAAGTTGCACGAGCGCGTTATCCTGATTCTCGAACTTGATACTTTCGAAGGCCTTCCATTCGCTCTCGCCAGCACAAACAGTGGAGGTCAGCTGGTTAAGCTCATCCAGAGTGAAAGATTCCGGCATTCCGAGAGGAGCCGTGCGGTCGAAGAAATAAGAGAAGATGTACACGTCCTCTCGGGCGAAAGTCTTCGAGAGAGAGGGTTGGTGGACGCCGTTGAAAGAGCATGGTGCAAGCTTGCACTCGCCGCTCTTCTTTAGGATCTTCTCGGCGATAGCACGGCACTGGGGTCCCATAGACTTGTCCTTCGGCCCGACCATGGTCACCTTGACTTCTGGCCCAAGGGGATGATCAGCAGGGAATTTTAGCTTAACTCCTTCCTTCTTCATTCCTGGGCCAATGCAGGGGTTGGAGATGGGCTGGTCAACCCAGGACAGGTCCTTGGGGCTCTGGGCTAGCATCGCCTCCACGACTACGGTGTTCATGGCCTCGCGAGCAGACATGAGCCCATATCCAAGATGAGAGTGCTGGTACAGCTCAAATTGGCGGCCACCGAACTTGAGGTCATACTTGTGGTCACCAGCGGCAAGGTGCTCCGGCATACCACCAGCCTTGCTCTGCTCGAAGGTAGGCTGGAATACAATCTGAGTGGAACCGCCACCCAGATCGAAGACGGCAGCCGTGGGAGTCTCATCCGGGCCACCGATCTTGCCCAACAGGTAGTTGGTTGTAATCCAAGCATAGACACCTTCGTCTGAACCATCCATGATCTGGACACCGCCCTTCTCCTTGGAGACAACGGGGAAGGGGTAGACGGTCTCCAGGCGGTGTCTAACGGCTTCTAAGATCTTGTTGCTCATTTCAGGACCCAGAATACGAAGTCCGGCCGTGGCCTTGACGGCAACCGGAGAGCACGACCTGTACTCCTCAGGAACCGACTTCACAGCGACATCCATAAGAGGGTCTAGACTCAGAGCTGCACCCTCGGCATCCTCTCCATAGGAGCTGAGACCAGAGCCTCCATCCTTTACTTTTGTTTGTTCGAAGACCTCGTTCTCAAGTTCTGGGGTTGGGCCGCAATTGTTGAATCGGTATACATGAATCCGGGACCCAGTGCTGCCAGCATCGATCATAAGAGCGTACTGAATAAGAGGCTTGGACGAATCAAATGGCTTGGTGCATCTCGAAGTGGACGCACCACTGCTTGGAGGTGGTTGCTCTACCAAATAATCAGTTCTGCGAACGGCAGCACGCAAGGGGAACACCAACCAGTGGTAAGATGCGAAGCGCTCGGCTGGGACGGGGAGAGCCAAACCAGGACCATGAAAATGAAGGCGATGATTGCCCCTGTCTTCAAGTAACGCGATCTCTGGGTCTGTGCCATGTTGACGGGTCGTTTGTCAGAGGACTGACTGGACGCAATAGAGTGCGGGATAGCAGATACGTCGCTGCGGGAGATGGAGCGGTGGCGGGTGGCCGACTCTATGTAGTCAGATTTGCTGTTATGGTTTTGATTGTCGACTCCAGTCGACATTCGAGCAGTTGTCGGATTATAAGGGTGCAGTGACAGGTGGCGTTTGTCGCTGGCGCAAGAATGGCTGAACGATCAGACCAGGTTAAGAGGAAGAATGAAACAAGTAACCATTGATCCCGATGTCCTCCAAAAAAACGCCAAGCAAGTCTAGGGGAAAAAAGGGGATGGATGTAAAGAGGTAAAATTGTCGGGAGAAAGGAGATTCAGGGTTTCATGGTTGTGGCGCAGATGTGGCGCGGATGCATGCATGGATGTACAGAGTGAGATTTACGCATATAGGTACGATATAAGATCATAACGTCTGTCTCTTATACTAAGAAACGGGCATTCTTCTAAAAATAAAGAAAAGGACAACGCTCCAGCGAACTTAAAGCAGGCGACTTCGCGATTTTGTGGGTTGCAATTTAATTAAGTTAGCAGTGGAAAGTAACTACATATGTACCTATATTGCAGAATTGAGTGTTATATACTCCATACAACATACACGAAATACAACAGAACAATGTTGGAGTGTACTCACCTCCCTACGGAGTAAGAGAGTACAGCTTGTATTATTAGCATGTACTACAACATACTAGTAGTAATTAATGGATTTATTGCCAGTACGTCCCGATTCCCAATCTGAGGGAGAAACCTCCATTTTCCATGTATTAAGGCAGCTAATTTAGACTACACGCCGAATGTTGGATGTTCTCGCCATGCAATTAAGCTCACACTAGTTGATAGTACGTGCCTAGGTATGTACAGACATCATGAATTACTATGTCAGATTATCTGGCCGGAAGCATCACCTTCCAAGGTCGGATGCCCGGGGCCGGTCAGCCTGGTTTGCTAATGTTTGTCATGTTTGCATTAAGAGGTATTTGACCTCCCCATATCTAGCGTCCCATCCATCGACTTGTTCAATTACTAACGCCCTCTCTATTTTATCTTTGCAACGCCCCATACTTTCCTCTCCTGGCGAGCTGGGCGCCCTTCTACGACTCCTGCTATATTCCCCGCTAGCAGCCGGCAATATGAACCATACACGCGGTCTCATATCATCCGCCCAGGCCCTACGCCAGATCTTCATCACACCCGTTCGCACCTCCAGAGTTGGGATTCTTGTATTTAGGCCGCTTCAGAATAGGCCCCAGACTCGTTTTTTTCAACAATCCCGTTGCCTAGAGCTTCGAGGATACCGACCACCCGTCGAAAAGCCCCCGATAAACGAAGCTATCCGTGCATCATTTGTCCAAGTTGTGAACGATGAAGGCGACCTCGACCCTCCGACGAGACTGGAGGATGTCCTTGAAAGCTTTGACCACTCTGAGTTCTTTCTTCTCCAGGTGCAAGAAGGAGACTATGACAACCCGCCGGTTTGCAAGGTCCAAAATAAGAAGGAAGCGCGAGCACATGAAAAGGCCAAAGCAAAGTCAGCCCGCTCATCGAAGGTTACGTTCAAACAAATTGAACTGAACTGGGCAATCGATGCCCATGACCTGTCACACCGCCTGAAACAACTCTCGACCTTTTTGGAGAAAGGCCGCAGGGTGGAAGTCCTATTGACTACCAAAAAGCGCAAGCGCAAGCCCACAGTGGATGAGATCAAACAGGTCATGCAGAGTGTTTTGGACACAATCAGAGAGGCCGGTGGAACTCAGACAAAAGCAATGGAGGGGGAACCTGGGAAGCAACTCAAGATTACTGCACAGAAGAATATCTAGCGGAAAGGATTGGTCACATGTATATTATATCGCATTGAACTGTACAACGTGGTATCGGTTGTATAGCGCTGTCTGTTATCACTGTTAGACTATTGTTCCAGAACTGAATGTATTGGCACCGTGATACCTGATGTCACTTGTAAATATCTTTAAAGTAGCCCTGAAGAGCTGCAACATAAGGCCATTCGAACCCTCAGCATCAAGACACAATTGCCGCACGGATCACCAAAAAGTATGCATAAAATTGAGGTCCCATTATCCCCATGTCCAACATCTAAGTATTCTGTCCGCAATTCGAGGTCTGTGATTGGCTGATGACTAAGCCGTCCTGAGGATCCATCCCGGAAGCCATCTTAGTAGAAAATTTGGTGTTGATCTGGGCTTCTTCTCTCCCATCCTTACTCCATCTCCTTAATCTTTCTTTTTAGTTCTTGATTCCATCGTTTCCTTTCGATTGAACCAAGATGTCGACCATCTCCCGTTCATTGAACCTCCTGGCGCGCACTAGCCGGTCCTCCCTGCTGCGTCCGACTACCGTCAACCCCGTTCACCATGTCTTCAGCAACAAGGTTGCCGGCCGTGGATTGGCTACTGCTTTCGAGCGTAACAAGCCCCACGTGAACATTGGTAAGATCCTGTCGCTGGCGCATAATCCATTTCCACGCTAAAACGTTATTGCCCAGGTACCATTGGTCACGTCGATCACGGCAAGGTAAGCTATTTGCGACTCGTTCCGACATCTCCGCCCTCCGAACACCAAATTTAACCCGTCCGCTCATAGACCACCCTGACTGCCGCCATCACCAAGTATCAGGCCTCTAAGGGCCTTGCCAACTTCCTCGACTATGCCTCCATTGACAAGGCCCCTGAGGAGCGCAAGCGTGGTATTACTATCTCGACTGCCCACATTGAGTTCGCAACTGAGGACCGTCACTACGCCCACGTTGACTGCCCTGGTCACGCTGATTACATTAAGAACATGATTACTGGTGCTGCCAACATGGATGGTGCCATTGTCGTCGTTGCTGCCTCTGATGGTCAGATGTACGGCCCCCAGTCTAGAAAGCTAGTTTGAAGTGTGTGCTGACGCAAACCACGCAATAGGCCCCAGACCCGTGAGCACTTGCTGCTTGCTCGTCAGGTTGGTGTTCAGAAGATTGTTGTGTTTGTTAACAAGGTCGACGCTGTCGAGGACCCTGAGATGCTGGAGCTCGTCGAGCTCGAGATGCGTGAGCTGCTCTCCTCTTACGGATTTGAGGGTGAGGAGACTCCTATCATCTTCGGCTCTGCACTCTGCGCCCTAGAGGGACGCCGCCCTGAAATTGGTACTGAGCAGATTGAGAAGCTCATGAAGGCCGTCGACACTTGGATCCCCACCCCCGAGCGTGATTTGGATAAGCCTTTCCTTATGTCCGTTGAGGAAGTCTTTTCTATCCCTGGCCGTGGTACTGTTGTTTCCGGCCGTGTCGAGCGTGGTCTCCTGAAGAAGGATACTGAGGTTGAAATTGTCGGTGCCACCGACTCTGGTAACCCCATCAAGACCAAGGTTACCGATATTGAGACCTTCAAGAAGTCCTGTGACGAGTCCCGTGCTGGTGACAACTCCGGTCTGCTGCTCCGCGGTATCCGCCGTGAGGATATCCGCCGCGGCATGGTCGTTGCTGCCCCTAACAGCACCAAGGCCAACAACAAGTTCCTCGTTTCCATGTATGTTTTGACCGAGGCTGAGGGTGGTCGCCGTACTGGTTTCGGTGCCAACTACCGCCCCCAGGTCTACATCCGTACTGCTGGTAGGTCGAATTTCCACTGATCTGATCTGATATCAAATCGACATAAGGTATGCTAACAATGCTCTAGATGAGGCTGGTGATCTCAGCTTCCCCGACGGCGACATGGCCAAGCGTGTCCAACCAGGTGACAACGTTGAGATGATCCTCAAGACCCACCACCCTGTTGCTGCCGAGCCCGGTCAGCGCTTCAACATCCGTGAGGGTGGCCGCACCGTTGCCACTGGTCTGATTACCCGTGTTGTCGAGTAAATGGTCCGCTCACACCCATGGTCAGGCAAGCGAATTGTCTGACCCTTGTATTATGAACCCCTTTTCTTTAACATCTTGTTTGTTTTGGCACCTTTTATTCCACAGCGCCGGAATCATCGATCAGCACGAGGGATCCGGGGGTAAACCGGAGTCTTCGCTTGAATCTTGTTCATGTACCTCTACTGTCTTGGAGACGTAGTCGGATTTTCTTTCATTTCTCCACTCCCGTGAAAATGTATTCAGACCAAATTCTTCCTAGGCTCATATATAATTCCAGTCAAGTTCAAGTCAATGTGTACACGATGTTTTGCTGCCCGACCCTCATTTGGTCTATTCCATAAGAAGAACGAATATAGAAGCTATATGCATACCTTCGGACATCATCGGTACTCAGCTACAACTTCGCCGTTGGGAGAGCCACAACCGATAACTCTATCGTCGATATTAAGGTTAAAGATGTGACGTCGCAAGTCCGGGACTTCGATTTATCATATGGCAAGAAGCCTGTATCTGCACCTTGGTCTTCAGATAATGGGGTATTTGGATTCTGGATCGGGATCAATGAGTATCGCGCCTCAAGACACCGTTGCCTGTTATGTTCTAACGTTTCCAATTTGTAGCATTGGCTGGGGTCATCAAAACACCCAACCTAGTACAGGTGCCGACATGAATGCCCAGTACAAACGTCTCGTTGAAAGATATATGCATCTGGCGGACGGAAGTTCCTTTTCCTCAATGTCCCGCTTACATATTGGAGTCCGATGATCATTAAAGAGGGGCCGGAAGCCGTTAAAACGTATGCTACGTGAAGGTTTACAATAACGGTCTTCAATCAATGATCAATGACTTTAAGTCGAGTCGTACTGGCGTACGTTGAGATCTCTTTCATCGTTTTATACAACTAAGATGATCGTAGACTACTATCGTTATTTACGATACTTGGTCCTTTATGCTGAAGATACTGGACGATCCTCAGGCATATAGATTTCCGAATGCCACTTGTTTCAATGAGAATAGAACCTCCTGTATTTGGTGGAATCGTTATCACCCTGGGCAGAACTACCATAAACTACAGGCAGCAGATATGATTCAGTACTTGCAGCCTTTCGGTGCTTGATAAACCAAGACAGAGAGAGATGTATAGTGGATTACAAGGGGTTACCAAAAAGCATATCATGGAATAAACAACGTTGTGAATGAATCCTTAACACGTATATGTTGTAGATGGTAGATAATATAAATACCCATACAACATACTGTTGTATGGTACCTTGGTAGACCTGTGGACGGAAGTATATTGCATCTGATTGGCCCGGGCGAAAATATCGCACCACTTCGGCCGAACTTGACGGACGAACATCTATGAGAGTGTATTCAACGGCTGCGAACTTCTCTTTGCTTAAGATTACGTGGGACTGGTTTGAGCTCCAGGGTTGCCTTGACTCTTCAGAGCTCTTGCGCCCCTTTCTCTGTCGTCTTGTCTTCCGAGATCATTCCTCGCCAAAGGACGATGCTGCACAACCTACAATGGTCACTAATCTGATCAACTTCTTTATCAACACAACGTCGGTGGACAGATGATCTTAGACTTGCCTTTTCGCTGTACGGGTTAATATGGAACCCTGGACAGACCAAGAACCGGCGCGAAAGCGGATGAGAAAGGGGACCAGAAGTTGCACAGAGTGTATGTGTATCAATCGACATTTGATATGTCTGCGCTAATACCGTTCAATTACAGGTCGGCGACGCAAGATTCGATGCACATTCCACCCCAACCGTCCAGAAACTTGTAATGAGTGTCGGTCCAGAGGCATGAAATGTGTCGATCAAGAACATGCCGGTCTTACCCCTCCATTATCCGGCTACCAGCGGACCTCCCAATTTGGCGAACAGCCATATAGTCTCCGCGAGCGAGTCGCACACCTGGAGAACCTCGTGGAGGGGCTGACCAAGCGACTAGACCAACGGGACTCTAACACTCCGCCTTGTGAGCTTCATGGGATAAAACAACGTTGGTATCTCCCGGATGCGGGTGGATTGATGTCGCGTGACTGACATTAGCCAGCGGACGGTATAAAAGCCCATTCAAGACCACTGGCAACTGAGCCAGACGAACTAGGCCCATCTAGTGACCAGATTTGCAATGCGCCGATACTACAACTGTTTGACAACTATCTCGTGAGCCGCCAAGAGGACTCGTCGAATAATGATAAATTCGCCGGTGTTCAGGATATGTCGCCAAAGGCCGAAGCGGTGCGTGCAGAGCTCATTTCTCTTCTGCCTCCCGCGGAGGATATGAATAAGATAGTCAACGCGTCCTTCCATTGGTTCGTGTGGCAAGATCATTTCCCGGAGCTGTTCGATCGAGAAGTCGACAGACTCGTTTTTAATGCAAATTGTCGCGATAATCTAGTGGCTCCCGCCGAAGTCGCGAAGGCACTTATGTGCCTGTCTATCAGTGCGGTTCATGCCCCGTCTGAATTTGACTTTGGTACTTTAACCGTGCCCTTTGAGCCTCAAAAATTCTCTGATCAATGCATTGAGATGGTGGACCGTCTAATCGTCCGTGATGACAACTTCGCGGCCACACTGCCCGGTATAGAATGTCAGATGTTACTTCACAGGGTTCATTTGACTGATGGCCGGCTCCGGAAAGCTTGGCTGGTGATCCGTCGGGCAATCGAGTTTGCCCATTTAGCTGGAATGCATCTGTCCACTAAGGTTCCAAGGCCAGGCGACTCTTTTTATGAAAGGCGCTTAAAAATCTGGTGTTCCCTGGCGACATCGGATCGGTTCCTGAGTTTGATTCTTGGCCTGCCTTACGGTATCAGCGGTCAATTCTTTTTGCCACAGATGGAGCAACGTCTCAATTCAAACCTATCAGCTCCCGAGGAATACGTGTCGCGCATTGGCATTATCACGGGCCATATGGTTGACCGAAACCAAGACCCTTCCAAGATG